CAGTTTTGGGTTTGTAAACAGTGCCCTTGTGCTGGGCTGAGTGGAGTCGCTCCCGCTGCACTGCGCCTCATTGCCCCCAACCAGCCCCTCGCTCTGCAGACCACCCCCCATCACGTGCCCTATTTCCCCAATGGGGGCCCACAAATATGTTTGGCACCAGGCCCACAAAAAGCTAATCCGGCCTTCCCGCTTCTCCTTCCCGCTGCTCACTCCCACCCCTTACCACACTGAATCCCGCTCGCTTGTGCACACTGGTCCCAGCTTCCCTCTGACTCTCTCCGGGGCCCTCATTGTCCTCGAGAAGGGGATCGTGGGTGGAGTCTCTGCTCTCTGGGACACACAGCTGCCCTCTCTTGTCTTTTAGGGACCTCTTTGAGGAGTCTCTTGCTGGCTTTGTTCACAGCAAATAGTCAGTCTTCGGACCAGCCTATCACCCTCTCCGTGCCATAGAGCCACGATTGCAGGCCGTGAGGGACCCTTTGGTACAAGAGATGGGGCTGGCGGCCGGGCATGCTCTGTTAAAGCCATGCACCCTTTCAGTTTGGGTCCCCCATTAATTGTTCATGGCTCAGAATAATTGCAATAACCAGTCATGGTTTGCAGCAGCCCAAAAGTCTGTTCATTACGCTTCCCCAGCCCATATGGAGATGGGGGAAGGCTGGGTAGCAGCAGAGGGAGATGCTAGAGGGGATTCCAGGTTGGGGGGGTATTAAAAAGGAACCCCTCTGAATATTTGACTGTGTTCATTAGTAGTGTCCTACGGCTTTGAAAAGACAGCTCTGGAATTATACTGTTTTGACTGGGCTAGAACGTTACATTTCAAACTTTGTTACCCAAATATGTAATTCACCCTCCTCTTACAAGGTTAATTTTCCCTGGAGCAGGATTTCTGATGTCCAGACCTGACTTGATCTGTCAGCTGGAACAAGGGGAAGAGACATGGGTCCCAGATCTCCAGGGCTTGGAGGAAAGGGGGATCCGGAGAGGTGCCTGCACAGGTGAGGATTTGGTTCAACTGATGTGTAAATCGTCCATCTGTGAAGGAAACAGCTGGGATTCCCACGTAGGCCCTCTGAACTCCCCCAGTTTTGCTGCATTATCAACCAGATCAGGAGGGTAGCCAGCAAGTCCTCAGCTGTCATTCCCACCCATTCTAATTGACACCTTGCAGTAGCTCCTTCCCCTGGAACATTCACATGGGATATGGAAGTGGAGTCGGTTCAGTCTTCCCATTCAGGGGGATTTGGAACCTAATATTTCAATTTCCCCAACAGCTATTTTGGTTTGTTTCTGAGTTTGCTTTCCCCGACACAGGGACTGACTCTGGTCTGGATTCTCTCCCTATCCCAGCAGGTGACAAGATCTTGTGTAAGAACGAGGGGGAGAATCCTCAGCAGGAAGGGCCTGCACAAGTGGAACCACACAGGACGGTATTGGGAGGATCCAGAGGAAATGTTCCTGCACAGGGAGAAGCTGGTGGGAGTCAGAATGGATCAAAGAGGCAGAAGGAAAAGGACTCAGGGAAGGGACAAAGTAAATCCACTTCCCATGAGGGTGGTTCCAGAGATAGCAACAAAACCACGGTCCAGCAGACTGGAGAGATGCAGAAAATATGCATAGACTGCGGGAAAATCTTCAGTTGCATCTCGCACCTCATTAGACACCAGAGAACCCACACTGGTGAGAGACCCTTTAAATGCCCTGACTGCGGGAAAGGCTTCGGTCGGAGCTCGCACCTGGTTGTACATGAGCGGATCCACACGGGAGAGAGACCATACAAGTGTGACGAATGCGAGAAAAGCTTCAATCAGAGCCCACACCTTATTAGACACCAGAAACTCCACCTGATGGAGAGACGCTGTAAACTACCTGCCTGGAATGGAGTGAATACCGCATTTCCCAGTTCCTTGAGTATCCAGCTGCCTATCGCTGGGATCAGGGGGCAGCTGCAGGTGCCTCCGGGCTGCTCGGTGAATCTCTGGCTCTGCCTCCTGTAGCAAACCGCAGGCAGAGGAGGAGAAGCCCTGATCAGTTTTTCCTCATTGCTGTGCTGCCAGGCCCCTCTGCCACTTGCCAGCCAGGTGGTGGTCAGGAAAAGAAGAACCCAACTCCTATAGACACTCATCTCTGGGGACTCAAATCCCTTTCCACTAACCAATTCCTTGAGCTAAGCCACCTTTCTCAGGGCAGAGACCTGTCTCTGCACCATCCTCTGGGACTTGAGCTGGGCCTCCCCCCGCTTACCGGCGTTCATGTGGGGTGGGTGCCCCAGAGGCCCTTCCCTTGCAGGCTTTCGGAGGAAACCAGGGAGATCAACTGTTCGGGGGACTAGGAGAGGAAGAATGGGCAGGGAACGGGTTGCTGGGAGTTTGAATCAGGTGATTGAATTAGCAAGTGATCAAGTGCTGAGACGGGATAACTCTGCACTATTTGGCCAGAGCTCATTGCTGCAAAGAGGAACACCAGCTCTAAGGAAAGGAACAAGGTGTTGTGTGCCAGGATCACGGTTACTGTGTGCAATAATCTTCCCACCCCGTGAGCCACCAGCAGCTCTGAGACCAGCACTTAGGCATTTCAGTCAGTCAGTGCAGAGTCGCAGCTCCAAGGAGTCGATTTCTGATGTTGGGTTAAAATGACCTCAGAGCACCCTGGGCTAAAAGGGTAACTCAAGAATGACAGCGCGGGGGGTTCCTCACTGGGAATCTTCGAGAGAAAGTAGAGACCAGTCATTTCCTATGTGTATTTGGGGTTTGCAACAAGCAGTGGGTGTTGGGAAAGGAATGTGTGGCTTATATTTATCTCTGGGGAACTCACTGGGGTATTTAACAGTAATTATGCCGATTCTTTGGAATGTCTAAAATTAGTGACTAGTATGGGTCACTGACAGTCCAGATCTTTGCCCCTCCCTGTGTCCTTCCCAAACGAGCAGAGTGAGGCTCAGTGAGGGGTCCCGCTGTGATGCCATTCTGCTCACTGGGGAATGGGATTGATTCTTTGATACCAGTTGCCCATTTCAGGTGACGTTTCACCCCCTCTGCACTAGTTACTCCCTCTCCCAGAACACTCTCTCTGTCACACTTTTTTATTTCTATTTCGGTAAATAAAACCTGCACTTACAGATGCTGTCTGGAATCCTCTGTTTTGTTTTGTTTTTTTCCATTGGGAGACCCTTCCACTCATGCTGATTTGAGAGAGGGGCCTGGGCCACTGCGACATCACCTTGGGGATGCACACACAGCTCCTCTCTGCCTTTCTACTTCATGTGCTGCGGGTGCTTGCCTCAGCAGCTGGCCTTCCCTCCCAGCCCTGGGGCTCAAACACTTCTCCTCCGCTGCAGCCTCCTTCCTCTCCCCCCACCTCAGATCCCAGCTCCTGGGTCTCTCCTTGGAAGCCTGACCTGTACCTCTGCTGTCATTTCCAGTTGCTCCCTTTTTGCTTGGCCTGAGCCCACCTTGCACTGTGGTGCCAGCAGGAGCAAACCGCACAGAGCCCAGCAGCGGGTTACCATAAAGATAACCCAGCAAGGATCCGGACCTCTGAGGTCCCCCTGCTGAGAGGGTCATGACTGTACACTCTGCATAGACCTGTGCATGGGGACCACAACTGGGACACAAGGCAGCAGCTGGTACATTATTCCTGCACCCCAGCAATGGCCCTGGCTAGGAGCTGAGTCCTGGGGCAATTCAAGTGACTGGGGTTAATCTCTAAGGCCCTGAGTGGTTTGGGTCCTGCTTTCCTCAGAGCTCTTTCTTTCTCCACGTGCCATTGCACTAGCTGAGACAACAGAGCTCATGTCTACTGGGTGTACCCAGGAGGGGGACTCGCTGCAGGGCCATGCTCCTCGCTGGAGGGCTCTGATTCTGGAATTTGCTTCTTGCAGCCCAACAGAGTCACTGTCCCTGCCTGTTAGGTTCTGTGCCAGGCCCGTGTGGTCTCCCCAGCGGCCAGGCAGCGAGGGTGTTGACAGGGCGCTGATCAGCTCTGATGGGAGGTCACACAGCACTCGCAGAGGGTGAATGGTTTGTGCTTTTAAGTGGAACCCATGCAGCTGGGCTGACAGAATGGGCCCATTCTTACAGAAACCCAGCTACCTACAGAGTCGATCTCCCCTTTAAGAGCCTGCGTGGTTGAGCCTCTGAGAGACCTGCGCTGACCGGCCTGTCAGCCTGGGATGCAGTCGCTGTGGGCTAGATACCCACAGGGTCTTGGCTACTGTGACACTGGGCATCACTGCACTGAACTTCTAGGCACCTACAAAATCACCGGGATGCACAAAGCCTGAGTTAGGTGCTCAGGTCTCCCCACAGAATGGGATTCACAAAAGCTGGCCTGCTTGTTGGCTCCCTGCCTTAGCTATGTAACAGGAGATGTGCAGGAGATGGGCGAGTCAAAAATTCTTCAACCAGCTTTGTGCTATCTTTTTCATTCTTATTTTTATAGTAAGTATAAGGAGATTGTGAAAATGTTTGATTCTACGCATGAGGTCACTATGACATTCTGTGCCCCAAAGCAACAACCTCGGAGGGAAACCCATCATAGTCTGCCACCTGAAAAGATTAAGAATCCCCACTCTAGCATGATGCCTGCATGGATGAGGAATCAAGCTTAGGAACATAAGGAGTTTCAGTGCAGCGAGCACAATGAGTAGGCCCCTTCTCTCTCCTCCCATGGAAAGGTTGGCAGGAAACCGAAAAACCCAGCAGCTCTGCAGCCAAGTGCCGATTGGGGCTTCTCTTCCTCTGCATGGGGTTTGATGAGCCTCTCTAGCAATTAGTTTACAGGTCAGCTGCTGCCATCTCCTGGGCAGACGCTTGAGAGTTGAACATTACTGATATTTGCAGGGAATCAACAGCTCTATCGTTCCTTCCAGCCAGCCCTAGACTGGGCTCTGACACAATTTCTGTCTTGTGCATCTCCTTAGTGAGGGGTGAGCTGTCCTGAAGCCTTTCCTGCCGTCGAGACATTTGTAGGGCTTTCCTCCTGTATGGAATCACCGATGGATAGTGAGGGTTGAGTTTGCCCGGAAGTTTTTCCCGCACTTGGAGCAGATGTATGGTTTCTCTCCCATGTGGGTTTTCTGGTGTTTAGTGAGGGTCCTGTGGGTCCTGAAGCTGCTTTTGCACTCTCGCCCGTGTGAATTCTCTGGTGGACAGTGAGGCTTGAGTGGACACCATAGCTTTTCCCGCAGTAAGGGCACTGATGGGGTTTCTCCCGTGTGGATTTGGAAGAGGGCTGATCTACTGCTGAAGTTTTCCCCACATTCAACACATAAGATATTCACCTTCCTCATCTGTGATGTTTGCTATCACAGTGTGTGTTACCTTTTCCCTTAGGCGAGAACTGACCCCGTCTGTTCCCTGACTGCTTTTTTTGCAACCTTTCTGACCTGCGCTGGCTCTCACAGACTTTGCCCTTCACCTGCTCAGGACTTTTGAAAACTTTCCCTTTGGATCTCTGTGATGTCACTAGAGAATTCTCCTCCTCATTCTCTGACTTGTCATCTGTTTGAATGAAAGGGACAATCCAGACATATCACTCCCTGTGCTAGGGGGAAAGGAAACCTCAGAAAGGGGAAGAGTAAAAGGGGATTCGGAGCAAGCCAACTGGAAGAATTGTTTGGGAGACTAAAATATGAGAAGATGAATCCTTCAAAGCTTTATCTCCAGAGAACAGGGAGGAACATGACCAATTTTGTTTCCACATCCCTAAGGGGAAAAGGAGGGAGCCATTGCCAGGTGTCAGCTAGGACGGGTGATAACCCATGAGTGACATCTGCCAGGAGGATACAATGCTGGCTGGGCACAATGCTGACCTGGGTGAGATGAGGCAAAACCAGGGGATCTCACGGGAATCCCAGGATTGTCCTTTCCTCAGCCACGGTTTCAGAGTTGGTCTAGCCAGTTCCTCCTCTGCACTCTACTGGGAGCTCTGGAGATCCGGGACCCAGGCCTCTTCACCTTGCTCCAGCCGGGCAAGCCAGTCAGTTTGTGAACTGGAAATCCTGCGCAGGTGAGAGCAGGGAGAGCTACAGATCTGTAGACTATTTCTCACAAAGAACGTGCCAGCGGTTTTAACCCCAGCACACTTAAAGGCAGTAAAATCCCAGAGTCAGCTCCCCAGGGACTTGCATCCATAGGACACCCTGCTCATGGGGGATTTAACCTCCACTGGGAGCACACACAGCCAGACACTCATCATCAAAGGGGCATGGAAGGTAAGTCCATCACTGTCCATATCCCAGAAAGGGGAGACTCTGGCCACAGGGGAAGCCACTCCTTACCGCCAGAGAGGCGCAGCGATAGGGAGAGTTATAGGGAAGCTGAGACCAGTGAGCGAGCTAGTGGGGTTCAGCACAGTCAGGAAGTGGGGCATGGGCAGTGGGTAATGGAGGCTGGGGGAGGCTAAGCTTCCCCAAACCTCCGCTAATGCTCCCCGCTGCAGCCCCGGGACCAGGCCGTGGCTGGATTCAGCACTCCTCTGGGTAGCCTGGGCTCAGGGCTTGGGGCTCCTCCAGACTGCTCCGGGTGCCAGGAGGCCGGCCAGGGTTTGGGGCTGCACCGGCGGGCCGGACGGCGAGACGGGAGGTGGAAGAGGCTGAACGGGGCAGGGCCTCGGGCAGAAGGGGCGGGGCTTCAGGCACAGGGCTAGCCTCCTCAAACCGGGGGTGCACATGCTGCCCATGAACTGGGATGTCACCAAATGCAGCAGTCCGGGGGCATCCGATGTCCACAACATACATTAGGGGAATTAGGATCTCTAGGGAGTCAAGTGCACCGAGAGGGAATATTGGGGAAGGAGGAAAATGACTGATGTTTTAAACTCTGGTAGCACCCAGAAACTGCAAAGAGGACTGGGGCTCCCTCGCACTGGGAGTTTACAAGAGACACACAGTCCCTGCCCTGAAGAGCTTCCAAGACAGGACTGAATGAATGAGTGTAACGAACAGCAGTAGAGCGAGGGAGTCCGGAGAACTGTTAGTGACACAGATGAACAATGTGCACAGCCCGAGTGCACCAAATCAAATGACAGTATTAGCTTATTTCCAGCGACCTCTCTGTGGATTTCTGGTTTTCATTTCTATTGTTTTTAAACAAGTGTAATTTAAAATAAACCAACCACCTCTCTATCTGTTTCTCTTTCTTTTTAAAATCAACCTATTTCTATCACTTTAACAGTTGAGAGGGACGTCTCGGGTGAATTCCTCTGGAAAAGGAGCATGTGAGAAATGAAAATCAGGCCATGTGTCCTCAGAAGGGATTGGCTGAAAGACATAAGGATAAAATGAACTGGAACAAGGATATTGACCAGCTCTGGCCACTGGTCTTCCTGAAGGAGGGCA